CGCGCGCCGCATCGAGCGCTCCTCCCACTTTTATGCGGATTCAGTTCCAACGAGGAATATAACAGATATTTTAGTTTTATTTTTCCAATTGTTAGACCGGGAATGCATTGCCAGTGGCTGTCGTATGCATGTAAAATACTAATACAAGCCATCTACAGGTATGTATGAACGTAACTGGCATGACAGTACCTGTATGCATGTAGTTAGCACGATGTTTATTCTTGCGATAGTTGCATGTAAAAGGGGGTACGCTTGACACAGACCCGTTTCGTCGTATACGTCCTAGTGAATATTTTACTGGCATACGCATTGCGTCAGTAGCTAGTGTGTCAGCTACTACCCCATTTTCTTTTGTAGAGATTTGTTACGTTGCAATTACTATATTACGTAACAATGCTACTTGGTCGTTGAAAAGTAAGACAATATTTGTTCTATAGCGGAAGGTAAAGCATTCTAGATTTATATGGGATTTTATTAGGTAGCAGTTACTTGAAAATAGTCATATTACGTAACGTGGTAACATTTTAAATGTCTTATTTTATTCTACAATTTATTGCGATTGTGGAACTGAAAATATCTATCCTTGAACATGGGCTACAAGAAGAATCGTTACAAATACGTTGCCCCCTTTGTGTCGACTATAAAAGGCGGGTAAATAATGAATAGGAGAGGGACGGGCAGGGGATTAGACATGCCACCCATTTCACCCCTATATTACGGTCGATGTTTTGTGACGTGGGTTTTCCTCGATCAAACCGGTTCAATGTAGCTTGATTTTCACAATATTTAACTTGCCTTAAATTCTATTTTATTTCTAACAAATGAATCCTGGTAGTATTTTACTAACCGATAGTGAAAAAATTCCGCATGTTTAGTTCAATCTCTAAGGGAGACCCTTAAAAAAGATTTAAATTTGTAACAAGTAATGTACAGAATGTTTTTTTAACTAAATTACTACTTTTAGTAATCATTTTAATAAAAAGATAAAAATTAAAATTCAAACATTTTTACTGGTAGGTTTTTTCTAATTACAGAACATTTGAAATATTAAATTACGAGCTGTTGCCCGCGACTTCGTCCGCGTGGTATTAGAAAACATACGAATTATATAAATAACAAAAGGCTACGTATCCCTCGGGAACGGGACATTTTTCGGGGATGAACCTCATCCCTTGTGTACTCCAGACTTTGTTTTATATCTGTGCCAAATTTCAATAAGATATGTTGAACCGTTGCAGAATGATCGAGTAATCATTAAAAAATTAAATTAATGAATCTCACAGGAACCGTAACTATTCCAGGGATAAAAAGTAGCCTATATGTTCTTCCAGACTATGCTCTAAACCTGTGCCAAATTTAATGGAGATACGTTCAGTCGTTTAGGCTACAAACGCTAACAAACATCCATCCATCCATCGTAACTTACACATTTATAATATTTATATGATATATGATATGACATGATATGATATACGATATATATGCTATGATTAAGAAATATTGATAATTCGCTAATCATTAAAAATATCTATTTATAAATATTTAAATGTCGGTGACATACAAAGAAAATCCCTCCTCCACCCCACAACACATTTGATAAGGTTCGGGCCCACCGCAACCCCCTTGTAAAACCTATTTGCAAAACCCCCGTATTATTAAAGGACACTCCCTCAAATTCTATATATAATTGAACTAATAATTTTCCCACCCGCCCTTATAAGCCAGTCAAATTAAATATCCCAGCTGCTATAATTCGCGTATAGCTAAAAATAATCTTCAATAACGTTGATTAAAAAAAAAACTTAATACATATACTTGAAAACATAAATATAAAGCAATTAAAAAAGTTGTGGCGAGTGAGATTTGAACTCAGTTTTTTTATATTTACATCGGCTTGATACCTCAAGATATCAGATACCTCACGATATCAGAATTATAGTTTGTCTAAATAAGATAGATTAGATTGACAATTCACGTCAATTCAGGTGTCAATTGGGTTTTGTAAAATCAAGCATGAATCTTTTCGATTTTCGATTTTTATTCTTATAGAAGTTGGAATCGATAGATTCATAGTCATAACTTATGAATTAAAAAAACACTGTTTAGTCAAATTAATAATGACCTGCAGAACCATTTCGTCATCGCTAAATTCTCTAAACTATAATCAATACTGGAATTGTCCACTAAATTAGTTAATAAGAAAATAATGATTTTAGTTAAGTTTGATAAATTTTATTTAAACCGAATATCGATAGTTCATATTTGTTCCCTATGCGTTTTTGTTTCGTCACTAAGAAACCTGTCTATTAAGTGCGGCATTTGCCTTCATACAAAATTAATTTGATACTTCATGTGCGTCATTTATCAAACTAATCTATCTTATTTAGACAAACTATAACATTACTCGAGATTATGTGTAGGCGGTCATGGTCATATTCAAAGAATACACTCACAATACTTCTCAATTGAAATATCATCGATTTACAAAGCTCATATAGTTCAAACAATGTTCTTGCAACGATCCCTATTTTCAGAATGATTGAAGTTTTCTAGAAAGTCGCTTGGCGGCGCTTGTGTTCTGATTGCGAAATAAATTCAAATTGATTTTAGAAAAATGATAATGAAAAGAAACATTAGTGGACGTTATTCATTTTCTACTAATAAAAAGGATTCATTTATTATTAACAAAAGAGAGGGAGATGTCATTCAAGTCGGTTTAAATCGCACTCGCCACATTTTTTTTTTTACTAAAGTAACAATTGCATAATAGTTATAATTAAAAATTCTAAAATCCTTGTTATAAAAAGTATACAATAGATGGCGCTATTTCACTAAACGCCTTTAGCTGTTGCGCAATATCGATAGAATTAGTAATATAATAAATAAAAACAATTACTAAAAGTAGTTGTAAAGTATAAGTAATGTAGGCAAGGGTCTCTTATTTACTCTGATCCGATAATTTCCTAAATGCGAAATCTTAAATTTTTGTATAATTTAAACAAGTAACGACATGAGTATTCCGAAACGACTCGTACAACTTTAATTGATCTATGCCTAGATTGTCGTGCTCTAAATTGTTTGTTTAGCATGTTTTCAACGTTTGTATGTTTGTTTTGGTTATTTTCTGTGTTGGTACATTTAGCGGCCTTTTTTACATTAATATTAATATTGTGCCCTGCCATCTATCGTTGGTTTTACACATTACATGAAGCGAACTATTCGGTAAAATGAATGCAATGCAACTTCAGCTTTCTATGCACAGATGGCGCGATTTGAAATACAAGCTTGCGTTATCAGATGGCGCTGTAACCATTTCTCGCCATAATGTTGTTTGACACTTTTAGCTTACAGAACACCATCATAGATGGCGCTGAAATTTACAATCTATTCACACTTTTTTACATTTACGCACATAAATTAAACCGTCATGCGTAAAAGGGACGATAACTACAAAACAATAGCATCATAGGAGTAAAATTGCTATGGTAACGGTAATTGTTTGACAATGGCAAAGGCTTTCATTGCCATTTCTGTATTTTAATTTTGACATTTGCAATTAAAAGTTTTACGTAAACTAAGCAATGAAATATAATTACAATAACATGCCGATGAAGCCGCATGGGAACATCTAGTTGTAAAATAAAACAATGAATCTGACAATCTATATTCTGAATCGAAAAAAATATCACAAACAAAATTATAACACATAATTTAGTTTAACAACAACAAATAACTACTGTTCAAAACAAAATGATCGGATCTTATAGGGCTAAGCAGTATCCTGAAACAATAATGATTATTACATAAATAATACGACACATGTGTTAACATTCAGCATTAGAGTGATTAATTCTAGCTACGCAAATAAAATTAAAATTACTACTGATCGTCCATTGGTCGAAATTCGACCATTATTCATAATGAAAGAATTTGAATAGAAAGAGCTTTATACACTTTAGGTATTTATGAATAAAAAAATGAAATCTAAATTGAGCCAAAAACATGAATTACTATTGATTTATTGGCCTAAAGAGCGATAACTTGTCTTGCTATATTTTAAAATTTTCACATTTCTGACTATCCATATTTCATCCACATTTAGCTCACGACTTCGTCTTGATTTCTTGGTCGCTTTCCCAATCTACAGTTAGTTGCGTACCCAAATTTCTATATTTGCACACCCTCTCCGACTCTCGGTCCGCCACTGTTATGCAGTCGTCATTATCTTTTTTTTCTCTGTTTAACATATTTATGTTTCGCGCTTTCTGTTTGAATAGATTAACTTGGACAATAATCTAAAGGTCTTTTAATATCTACATTGTTGTTGATTTCACCTTCATTTATTATAACTTCGAGGTCCAAGTCATATGATGCTGCTGAAAATATTGCTTCAGAGTATAAATTTAACAGCATTGATGACCCTGACACATACTACTCGTAATCTAATGATCATGCTTTTATCTTCTTATCTGATAATCTGTCACGTGATAAGTTTCTAAGGAACTCCACTTCATTTCATTGTACTGGAACACTTTATTCAGTTCTACTCCTGGGTTTGACCGTATATCCTACCTTGTGTTCGAGATGACGAGGCCTTAGTCAACGCTGGCCCAGTAGTGATGATGACATCATTTCTATCTTCACTCGATGCTTTTTTTATATTAAGTTTTGTCACGAAATTAAGTGTTTTGGTAACATGCCTAATTAGTCATAAACAGTTTGCCCTGAATACTTAATGAACATTATCCGCCTTTTTCTCTTTATACATAAACTAGCTTTTGCTCGCGACTTATTAAAAAATCTAGATATAAATATACCCTACATTTCTTAGTGATAATGTAGCTTTCAAAGTGAAAATAACTTTTGAAATCGGTCCAATAGTTATTGAGTTTATTCGTTACATACAAAATTCAAATCAATCTTATTTATAATATTAGTATAGAAGTAGATGATTCTAAGTTTGCTGTATTCGTAAATCTGAAAAAGAAAATAATTTTGTAACATCAAAAATATTGTAAAAAAAATAATCATTTTGTTCCAAATTGTTATTTGATAATTTATCTTTACATATCCAATGCAGTGCATAGTGTGAAATTGAGAAGCAAAAGATTAGTGTGGTATAGAGTATGGAGATGTTATGCGGAATGATTATGAGTACAGAAACATGAAAATATTGAGATTTTATATAGAAGCTGCGGCGGTGCATGCGGCTGCTTGAATTCGCTAAAATGGCGAAGTGACCGCTGCCCATGCATTTACACAAGATCGCGATTGCTTAGCCTTTAATAAGAAAATTAAGTAACGTAAATAGAAAGAGGGTATTTCCCCATCAACTATGTCTCATCCTTGCTAATTACTCTACCCCTAAAAACAAACTTTGGTAATGGAAAGGGGAACAGAATTGGCCTCCGCCCCACTCTTTCTATCTTCTGTAGGGTCATAGCATTTCACCGAACGAACGAGACCTGTGTGCAGTTATTATTGAATGTTGATTGAAATGAAATGTTGATGCAAAGTTGGAATACTTAAAGTGTATGAATATGTATTTTTGATTTCTTTGAAGAAGATAGTCTTAGGAGTGATTTCAGATATTAAGACGGTGAATAGACATGTATGGAAATGTACCACTTGTATACATACTGTTCTGAAACACTTCTGTAAATTTTCAGGAAAATAACGACTGTATTTTCTTTATTGTTTTTATTTTTGCATTATATTTTCTTCTAACACCAAGATCGTCACCTTCATGATTTCACGATGTGTGTCGTCATTGATAAAAATATTTAATTTAATGTCTTTCTAGTGAAGTCCAATATCGCATAAGATTGGATTTCTGTCAATTTTGTTTTAAAAAGAGTATGTTGAGCGTAACCATGATTTTGGAATTCTATTTCTGCATTGACTGTTTATTCAGCAAATATTTTCATCCTTACTTAATGATGGCTTTGCTCTATTTGCTACGTTGTGCCTTATTGCTGGCTTACTCATATCTTCTGCATGAAGTGTATATCTGATATACATGTGTTTTCTGCTGTGTTACTATTTAAAGCAGTTTATTGTTACTTTTCTTTTCAACTCCACTTCTCTTCTTGTATTAGTCGGTAGGAAGATTTTAGTTTACATTTTTAATTCTGGTGATGATTTCAATTTTATGTTTCTCTTGAACTACACTTTTTTATGTAATAACTGCTAGTTAAATTTCAAATTTGAAAACATGGCATTTACCGATTTGAGTCGAATAACGCACAATAATGTTGTATTTACATTATAATTAACTAATTACACTCGATGTGTTACGATCGTGGTAGATCTAATTATTAATAAAAACTTATCTGTTCATTTTGTAATTAAGTAATCCCGATCGTTGATCTTAAACTCCTTAATCTTCTAAAATGTTACTTTGGAGATCAATCTCTTGAAAACAAGAGCATTACATGCGGAAGCGACATAAAATGTGTAAATATTTAAGCCTTAGGATAAATCGAGAGAATGAGACGGAGAAAAGTTATAACGAAAAAATCCTACAGCTATGTCTTGGAATATTTTTTCTGGGATTAAAGGTTCTGTTTCCTTTTTAATGCAAAATGATATGATTATCGAGTGAATCATAACAACATTGGAAACAAATTAAGATACACCGTGTAAAGATTATCTATAATTCATTTCTCTATCTCTCTCTCACACTTAAGTCTAAAAGTACCAAATATCAGGACTGGAGAGATACATCTGGCTGTAGCCTCGAAATACAGCACCTGAAATAATAATTAAAAAAACAATGTTATGGTTTGTCTAAATAAGATAGATTAGTTTGATAAATGACGCATATGAAGTATCGAATTCAATTTGTATGAGGGCAAATGCCGTTGTTAATAGACAGGTATCGTAGTGACGAAACAAACACGCATAGCGAACAATTAAGAACTATCGATATTCTGTTTAAATATTTATCGAACTCAACTAATTATTGTTTTCTTTATTCTAAGTATTGATTATAGTATAGAGAATTTAGCGATGACAGAAATAACAGCAAAATTCAATTCGATTACGTACGGCTGTAGTAGTAATAAACATTTACCTATTTACTCTTATTATTTGTAACAGTTCTCCAGATCATTATTAATTTGAGAAAACAGTTTTTTTTTAATTCATATGTTATAAATATGAATCTATCGATTCCAACTTCTATAAGAATAAAAATCGAAAATCGATAAGATTCATGACTTATTTTGCACAACCCATCCCTACTATATTTGAAAGTTATAATCTTTGATGATCTTTTGATCTCCGGTATCACAGCTCTTGTATGTCGTAAGGAATGCAAGTTCTTTGACAAAGTTTATATCTCCAGCTTCTTCTATTTCAGACGTTCCCAACCTTGTTTCGTCTTCGCCCACATTTAAAATCGGATTATTTCCAGCAGCCGCATTTTCCCCTGGAATATATTCTTAACAAAACGTGTCTTAGCTAGTTGTGGGAAATTATGCAAATTAACAGTAAGCGTATCCTATCAACAAAATTAACCATAATCAACAGCCCCTCCATTTTTTCTGAGGCTCTTTCCGCCCCCCTCTAGGCCTTTACAAAAAGGTGTTATTCCCTACTTTGGATAATACTGTTTTACATCATTCATCTAAAATTTCTATACATATTATTAGTATATTATACTTACAATTTTTTTCTCAGCAACTGCATGCACCCTTTCTTGTCCACCATTCATTCCTGCTGAAATTAAACGGAAATATGAAATTAATATAAGCCCATTAATTATATTCTTAAATTCTGAGTCTAATGATCTGTGGCTATGTCTTGTGTTTTAAAATCTTTGGTTTTAAAAACATAAAAGCTAATATTATATTTGAAGTTTTTCTTTATGCTTTTGGTTCGTAATTTATTTTTATGGCCAGGATTGCTGTAAATATTTTTTACGTTACAAATTATCCACTTGTAAGGGAAAATTAAAGCGATTACGTGAAAAACAAAACCAAATACACAAATTGTTGCAAACATATGGTACTAATAGATTATGCGTAAAAAAAGTTTTGCCAACAAAATCACCAACCTTTAAACATATCAGTAATCAGTAATATACTTGTAGTTTCGGTAGTAGAAACCCACAATAAAATAATTCATACAACAGACATTGTACGTAATTTCACAACCATATGGTTGCACCTAAATTAATTTATTTCACTGATACGCGACAAATCTTATGTAGAATTTCTAAGTGGTGGTAATGGTAATTCACAAAAATTATTAGACATTAGGCAAGTTTTATAGTTAGAATTTGTGACGTAATTAGGTACTTACATTATAAAGCTGAAAACTGCGAGTTTTTCTTAGATGATTGATGAAAGGTTTATTTCACGTAACTCGTGATTAATTGTTACATTACAAAGCGAAACCCTAACATTACCATAATGCCTCATTATGTTAGAATTTATTTAATCCAAATCTGATAACATATGTTTGGTAGAATTCTTGAAAAATATATTAACATAACATTTCCAATCCACACAATGTAGTTTTCACACACAATAAAGGGAGAAGAAAGAATATGAATATTTTCTTCGAAATAACCTTGCCTTCCAAATTTGTGTCCGATAACTAAGATATTTTTTTGATTGATTGTTACCAACGTTCGCAACTTAACTGTACTTACGGTTTATTGATTTGGAAACTTCAGACTGGTACAGCTATCGAGCATAACCTCACCTGTTGAATCAAATGTCTATGGTCTCTTGAAATATTATTATGTTAATTTCTTATTTGCAATCCTTACTAACAGAGATAATTAATTAATACAAATTACCGAGATTAGTATAAAATACTAATTAAGATAATGTTCAGAATTTTTTTTTAATTCAAAACTATCTGATTAATTGTAGATTTTTTCCCACCCTTTTTTGATGTTAAAGTTTATTTATTAATTGAACGCGTGAACGGAGCCCATTTATGGCTGTCAGAGAATGTTAGAAACCGTAGCAGACGGCAACACCTTCCTCGGCACACTGGAAATTTGCAGATTTCTCACCCGGTGACGAGCGCTGTTAGGCGTGCAGTCCTTGGTTAAAATATATACTCACTGCCATCTGTTGCTAAACGAAACAAACTGCAGTTCAGAGTAATTCTCGTTTCGCACGCTAGGTTTCGCTGTTTTGAAATTTCACTTGTGTTAAATTTTATTTGTTTTCTGTCTAATTCGCGACTTATGAATGCATTTTAAAAAAAGTACACATGGGAAAAGACAAAAAAGTCAAGATTGTACATTTATTTTCAAATGTTTTGATAGAGAATACGTCCGTCTAACAACATTTATATCCAAGCTCCGACAGATGTCGCTTCTGAAGATATTTTACTACGCATAATTTGTTTTCTTAAAAAATATATTTTGGATAAATTAATATCTTTAATAGATATTATCATTTCTCTATATATTTATAATACAAAACCATTTTTTTAATAGAGTCGAATGTTTTAGATACCCTTCACAGATATGGCGGCCAAATATGAAGCGAATAAGAGTTATCAATTAATGTCTTCATAAATTCCCGCGTAATCCGGTATATCCAATGGCACTAATTAAATTTGTTACCCCCCGATAAAAATCTATAAAAGAATCCGTTATGTAGGAATGTTTAAATGTAATTATTTTAAAATAGTATCGGCGAAGAAAATATCCGGTAACATACACGCTAGAAAATGTTATAATTATACATTTTACTAATATTATATGAGCACTAATAATAAAAAACAAAATCAATAATAAAAAGCGTCGGTACCGCAGTTGTTGAGCGTTTGACTGGTCAGGATTTACATTTTTTATTTACGTGGAGAAATGCCTACGCAAATTCTGACTCAATGTGGCCTAGAGTCGAAACATCTCGGACTCGCATTGACTAAAACCTCACGGTGGTCGCCAACTTCGCTAAAAAGGGGGAATGGGATCAGGGATCTACGTATAATTGTAAAATTCAGATCCAGATTTGATCTGCCATACACCAACGTCTTTTTCGGATATTGAATTTAATATGTACCTTATTTATCTGACGTTCTTGCGCTGAAGAAAACCATTAACCTGCACATATCCGTGAAGGTAATCGATGATATGTGTGAAGTCAACCCACTATGGGCCTGATTCGTTCACTATGGCCTAGTCATCACTAACTTATGGTAGGCTCCGAACCCATTGGCGGATAAAACGAATACCTTATAAGTTGATAATTTACAAAAATATATGTCTTACAGACTTTTTTTTAATACTTGTCATTTTACTGCGATTTTTGTTTTTCATTTTATGTGTTAAATAAAACGCGAAATACAGTATTGGCGATAATAAGAAATGTTCTTGTAATCCTTCCAAATAGCCGTATTATCTTATGACATAGAAAACATAGGAATTGAAACCAAATATACATATCGTTATAATAAATTAAGTGTTCAATAAAAAAACAGTAACTGCCTGATAAGTGAATAATGTGGACATGTCTAACAGTGTAATAAAAAAGTGCTAAAAGTGAGAATTATTAAAAATAAAAGTCAAAAACCTTGTAGATAGAAAAATGGGTGCTCCTAAAATACTGTGTGTGCTCAAAGCTTGTGAATTGAACTAAAACTATTTCAAAATGCTTAGCCGATGGAAGAGTAAAGACAAATCTGAAAAAACTGGCAAATCTTCGAGCTCCGCCGGCAAAAAGAAAAGAAAAGGAAGAGACAATGGTGAGTGTTAGATTGTAACAAAATAATCATCATAAGCCTGTACTTTGTTCTACATCTTTCGCATGTTCCATCCATACTTTTCGGTCTTACACCACCTTTTTACATTTTACCTCTTGTTAAAACTGGTACTGCTAGATTTCTTTACTCTGTTTTAACAGTTACACTTATGTTGATTAAGGAATTGCATCAGTACCTAAAAAAATGTAAGAAAACCTATGAATTATCTTGTAATTTTAAAAAAGCGGGTTTTAATTTAATGAAGTAAAACTTTTCAAGTACGGATACGAATATTGTGGCTTTCTTCTAGTTATGCTCATTGGCAGTGCTGTGATCACATCACACGGAAATAGTTAAATATCAACCGAATTAGTCGACAAATTTTCCGAAAAAAAAATGTCATTCGGTAAATCTAACTTGTAAATATTTTTTTTTTATTGTTTCAGAAGAAGATTGGCACGGCGATGGTTTACGCATGGATGGTACGTCTATTTTAATTAAATTTTTGTTTTATTAAAATGTTTTTTTTTTATTTATAAATTATTTCGTCTCCGTCTAGCTGGTTTATATGTAGTTAAAATAATTATTCTTTTATACATAAGAAAATTACATACTAGTACTTACTATATACAAATAATACCAGCTAGATAGGTTTCTTTCGGAAGGGGTCGAAAGACGGCCGAGGGTTAGGGGGAAAGGGAGAAAACAGGCGGACAATTCGGGCGGTGTCGAAAAAGCATTAGTGCTGGGAGCGCACCGTCCTAGAGTCTCGACCGCCTCAGATGGCCGGAATCGGGCTGATTGGGATTAGCCCACTCGCAAAAACGACTACCGGGATAATTTTAGTCGACAAACCACCCCACGTGTCGGAAACCTCATGAGTCAAGTCCAGGTATTTTCATTTCTTAGTTTGTTTTGACATCACGAGGTTCTCCTTATGGTGGATGGTAATGTTTATCCAGAATAGCCCTTATTCGCATCAATAGTCCTGTCCGTGATGATGGACTGATCCCAATAGAGCTAGGCCTTATTTTCGAGCATGAATTCCGGAACGTACTTGTAATTTGGCAGTCTTATATCCAGGAGACCATACTTCAGTGCAAGCTCCTAAAAGATAACCCTGGCTATAAGGTTGTGTATGTTCAGATACACAGTGTTAGAAAGCGTTGAATAACCAGAGATAACAAGCCTAAGTTATTCACCGGGACGGCGACAAGTCCGACAAATTAGGATGTATCTCCAATAGTTGTTGGTATTGGTAACCTGATCCTGTATCGCAAAAACAAAACCCTTGGTTTCATTGAAGAGATCGTCGAAACATGGTCAGTGTAGGGATGTTTTGGTATGTACAAAAGGCCTATGGAGAGCCTTGTAGTACCTTCCGTGGGGCTCTTCATCAGTGGAAACAATAAATGTTGTCTTATGTGCGGCCAGGTGCTGCCACTGCTCAATAAAAAAGCATCACCTCTAGCAATCCCTAATATTTGACAATCAAAAAGTATCAAAATCATGAAATACGTAAAAGTTAAAACGCTAATTATCAAAGAATATTTATACACCTAACAATATATTGTTATTGAATTATCATTATTTGTCAATGTGTCGATAGGATTTTCCATATATTTTACTAAGTTGACTGTTACAGTTGGTCGTTTGCTGCCTTGTACTAGAAGTATTATAATTTTGTGAAAAATATTACAATGGTGTTTCTTTATACCACATTTAAAACCGTCATTTTATGGCACAGTTGTGCGTAATTCTATGGTTATTATTACTATATACTGAAGATTTCAAACGTACAAGCTGAGGCATTTTTCAATGCGCTTCATTAGACAATGCGATTTAGTACGAGAATTTAAGTCATCATCCACTTGCCCTTATCCCTTATGGAGGGTCGGCACAGTATGTGCTGCTCTTCCATACATCTCTATCAGCCGTCATATCTGAATCCACTCCTTTCTTAAGCATATCTTCCTTCACACAATCCATCCATACTTTCTTCGGTCTTCCTCTTCCTTTGTAGCCATCCACATTCAATCTCAACACTTTCTGGTTTATGTCCCCATCATTTCGTCGCATAATACGTCCATACCACGCTAACCTTTTGCTTCTCAATTTCTCCACCACTGGCGCTACTTTCAAACTTCCTCTAATGTACACATTCTTAACTTTATCCAATCTTGTCACACCACACATCCATCTTAACATACGCATCTCAGCTACATGCAATCTCCTTTCATCCGCAACTTTGGTGGCCCAGCATTCAGATCCATACAATACGACAGGTCTTATGATGGACTTGTAGATCTGTCCCTTAAGCCTAAGGGGCATTCTTGGATCACAAGTCACACCAGTAACCTGTCGCCATTTCATCCAACCTGCATTTATTCGGCTTTTTACGTCTCGGTCAACGCCACCGTCGGACTGGACTAGAGAACCGAGGTACTTAAAGTCGGAGCAGGTTGGTAGAGGCACACCATTTAAGGCGATTGGAGAGAAGCTGGTCGGACCGCCAAAATCGCAAAACAAATGTTCAGTTTTGGTCCTGCTGATTTTAAGACCAGCTCCCTCCAATTTAACCCTCCATTCTTCCAACCTGCTCTGTACCTCGCATTCATCCTCCCCGACAAGCACGATGTCATCGGCATAAAGCATACACCAGGGTGCCTCCTCCTGTATGTTTAATGTCAAAGCATCCATTACCAGGAGGAACAGATACGGGCTTAAAGCCGACCCCTGGTGTAAACCCACCGAGACACCGAACCTGTCACTATCGCCAGCAGCGGACCGGACGTATGTACTGGCTCGCCAGTACATGGCCTGAATAAGCTGCAGGTATTTCCCAGGCACTCCTTTTACTTTCAAAGCCCACCACAAAACATCCCTCGGAACCCTATCATACGCCTTTTCGAGGTCTACGAACACCATGTGCAGGTTCTTATGCACACGCCTAAATTTTTCGCACAGCTGGCGAATGGCAAAAATGGCGTCCGTAGTCCCCCGACCAGGCGTAAATCCGAATTGGTTCCGAGATACCTCACTTTCTTCTCTGATTCTTGCATCTACCACTCTTTCCCAAGAAGTTAGTACGAGAATTTAAGTCTCCTATAATATACGTTAAGTCTTCGCTCGAAGACTCTTCTTGTGGCTGTTATAGTCTCAGTCATCCTAATTATTGTTTTATCAGTATTTAAAAGTTCACAATAAACAAGGGAGACAAATTAATAGGAAGACTTTTTACAAAAGGCTTTTCTATCAGATTGCACGACGGTACACAATCCAAGGTTTCAACCGAGCAAGAAAGTTGTTTGAAACTACGCTCAGAGGACATTCCAATTTAATAATGAAAATGTCTGTTGGTCGCAGTTTCATGCGTTCTTTTTATTTTCTTCTCTAAAGTTTTCTGTTCGAAATAATTTGTAAGTATTAACATTATTACTACATATTGAGATTTTAAGATCAGAACAGAAGTGATGAATATAATTTTTGTAATTATATATTATAAATATAATTAATTATTCGACTGTATTTATAAAATATCAGGCTCGAAGGACCAAAAGCTATGGGATAGACCCTTTGGAAAGATTTTTCTTAAGTTCATTTTGTAACTATTAGTCTCATAACTTTCTTTTTTTCTCTTATAAAATATCCGGCTCGAAGGACTATATGTTAAGGTTTGAAAATAAAATTCACTTATTGAAACATGTTTTGCTAAAAATGTACCAAAAAATATACCGAGAACTATATGACATTTTTGTTTACCAAAATAAACTATATCTTTTTTTAGGAACGGCCCTTGAAAATACTAACTAATTACACGTTTCCTAACTCTTTGCACGTTAATTATTCTTAGGTCATATTTGCAGATGTGTTATTCATCCTATATTAGACTTATTAAAGGTTAACAGTAATATAAGGATAACACTGTCCCACAAAACTGTATGCAAACATTTTGACTGAGAGATCTTAGAAAGATAAAATAAATTAATCATGTAGCATATTGAAAATACGGAGCATACAATAATACAGAATAGAATGTTTAATGTAACGTGTCCATTAGATGTACCTTTTCCCTTTCATCCCTGATGCATTCAGGTAAATAGTATATTCATCCTCTTCCTGAGCTGTATAGCACTTTGTGGGTACTTTGTTCTTCCTCGATATCGACGACCTACTCTATCCTCTGCCAGACCGACATGCTGCGTGCTGCATGAGCGAAATGCTGCGGTCTCGTGTAAAACTCGAAAACTGGAAGCACCTAAACTATAGCTATTAGGAACGAAATCAATGTCAGGCTTCAGTAAGAGTCCGGTTTGAAGCTTACCGGAGGGAAGCTGAAAAGTTGTTTCTTTTAAAATATTTACTGCAACTTGGTCGCTATGGGAAAGGTAGGATTTATTTGATATTCCTATCGAATCGATCTTATAATCGAATAATCACGAAGTTGATCATCGAGGGACTGGGGTGATTCGTCGACAATACAATGGTTGATTGACTCCGACGAGTAGGGATTACCCTTTAAAGACCCGTAAAGAACTCAGCCTAAGGAATTCTGCACCGCTATGGGTTGACGGCGGGACCCTCGACGAATGCAATAATTAATGGTGATTTCCCAATTATCGATACCTATGTATAAGTAAAGTAGGAACAGCATCTTCGTAGCAAATGAGGTCAGCTAAATCAGAGATGTAACCTAAACGGTCCACCTCATACTTCGGAATGGACTGTGGTTTTAGATTTAAATTTGGAATAGTTCTGACATCCTTTAACACAAAATGATCCGACGAAAATTTACCCTTGATACATAGGTCCACGAAGCTGACTACAGTTTCTGTAGACATTCCGCCAACCCCATCTATACAAATGTGATCTTTACGACCCACTACACCTATCTTTTCGGCCACTGAAGCGTCTAGAAGTGAGGCCGTTGATCCATCATCCAGCAAGGCGTAAGTATTAAAGGTACCTTTAGGGCCCGACAAAGCAACAGTATGTCGCGTTGTTCTGTTATATATATAAAAAAAAGTTTTTGTTTTAACATTTTGCTTTTATTAAGCTATAAATTAAAAAAAACTTAAACGGCGATCAACCTCGCTTACAAGAAAGCGACAAGCACATCAGCTGGGTTCAGTTCATTGGCTGCTTTCGGCTTCTTGACTGCTTCCTAAACTTCTGGGCAGCAGATACTTCGATCCCAGGCGGCACACTCCTCCTTCGACTACGCTGCCTCATGTAGGAGCAACACTTCCACATCCAAAAGGAGGAAAAACAGTAGTCACAAGGAACAATAATAATGGAAAACTCAAGCCTCAGCGAAAAACAAAATGATCAACGTTATTTTTAGGACACGTGATTGGCTGTCAAAAGTGACAGATCGCGTTTTTCTTTTCTAATCTTTTGACAGACACATTACAAGGAATAACGTTCAAAAGTGATCTGTGCGCGGATGGGCTGTAGTTATGAGAGACTACTATAGAGGAAC